CTCACTACTTGAAGATGGACGACCTCAAAAGATAAGCCACATGAAAGAATCATTTTCCAGAACCATTTAAACAATGGCACCAGAATAGAACTGATACTGCAATCAGGAAATATATAACAACAGGTAAATATTTCCTCCATGGACACCAATGATTAGAACACTTGGTTAAAGCAGTTTTCTAACGCATGAACTCATGCTAAGGATTAATTCACAACCACAGATCTTGAACAATGAAAGCAATAAGGTTTTCACTGCTTTTATCCTGGGTTTTTATAATTCAATGCCTACTTCAAAAACAGGGAAACAGAAACAAGCAACTTCTTTTTTAAAAAATCCTTATTGTTGAAAGTATTACATATGTCCCCTTTTTCCCCCACTGACCTCTTCTAGACCCCCGCCCCCCATCCCCCACCCAATCAGGCCTTCGCCACCCTATTGTCAGTGACCATGGGTTATGCATATAAGCATACAAGTTCTTTGGTTGATCTCTTCCCACCCACCCACCCTCCCCTGCCTTCCCTCTGAGATTCCACAGTCTGTTCCATGCTTCTATGTCTCTGGATCTATTTTGTTCATCAGTTTATTTTGTTCATTAGATTCCACATATGAGTGAGATCATGTGATATTTATCTTTCTCTGATTGGCTTATTTCAAAAGTTTTGTTTTTTTTAAGTTGGGGTTACACATGCTTCTGTTACATTAAATGAGAAGTAATATGAAAATAAGGAGAAAGGTCTCAGCTCCTACTTCTGCCTGGGAGAAGAACTGAGAGAAGACAGCTGCATTCAAGAAACATCTAGATGTATAAAGCAACAAACCCAGCCAGCACACCATTCCATGAGCTAGCATCAGTAAGACCTGGTGCTATCTTACAGTAAAAGCAGAATTTCTGTTTGAGGCCCATTTGCTAATGTTTCTGGTTTATAAAAAGGAAATCACAGAGGGAAGAGCAAAACAGAGCTACTTTGCTAGTTGGATGTGGGGACAAGAGCTTGCATCAATGAGAAATGTCACAAGTACGTAAAACTCAGCTAAGGAAGGAAGAAACCAAATGTGTATTAAGCTCCCTCCATGAGCCAGGCACTTTGCTAAGTGCCATTTCATTGAACTTTCCCATGATGCTGTGAGGCAGTGATGTTTTTCTCCACTTTACAGAAGAGGAAGTGAAAGACTAAATGGTTTATCCAAAATCACAGAGCCAGAAAGTGACAGATGTCCAGCCCTAAGACCTACAGCCCTGACAATCAGGATAGGAAATCCAGCTCAGAGTGTGTGTCCTAAGTCAGCCTCTCTTTCCTTTTGCATTCTACAAGCTTTTCTAACTAAATTAAACAAAAAGAACCCCTGCATTTTATAGCATAATCAACTATTTAAATAGCCTCAGAGTTGGTAAAAAGGACTCCTTGTGTTCAGATTTGAAATGGGCTAGGCCAGCTGATTTCTATGTAAGTAAATGTATACTGTGATGGAACATGTGACACTCAGCATGGATGCCTTTCTTTAGACCAAGCTTTACTTGGCATGAATGGATATAAATGAAGATCAGCGTTCTAAGTACCTTTGGCAAGATATTTTCCAGCTCCGGCTCCCTATGCCTGGGGAGCGTTTACCACCTTAACTGCTACGATAGGTGTAGTGTACCAAAGTAAAGATAGTCCCTGAAACAATGGGGTCAAAATGAATATTAGTTCTGTTATATCCCAAAGCCAGATTTGTAAAGTAAACATGAATCTGAGAGATTGTACATATAGCAGTTCATATGCAATGTTCCCGCACTTTAAAGCACATCCAAACACAGTGTCTTCAGGGATTATGAAAATTTTATTAACAAAGAAAATCCGCATGATACACATCCCCTTTAAAAACAACCACCTCAGACACAGAGGTAAGAACTGTGTTTTCTAATCACTATTTCATCAATGCCGGAAGAATGAAACCACAGCACCAAAGCACAGACCGATATTTTTGAAGGGGATAATCATTTGAGATAATAAATTACTAGAAAATCAGAAGAAACAAATCAAGATATTCATTTTATAGGCTGAACCACTGAGTCTTTATCCAAATAATGTTTCCACTGTGGGTAAATGTACTTGGCCATCCGCTCTTTTTTTTTAATATACTTTATTGATGTTTTTACAGAGAGGAAAGGAGAGGGATAGAGAGTTAGAGACATCGATGAGAGAGAAACACCGATCAGCTGCCTCCTACACACCCCCTACTGGGTATGTGCCCGCAACCAAGGTACATGCCCTTGACCGGAATCAAACCTGGGACCCTTGAGTCCGCAGGCCGACGCTCTATCCACTGAGCCAAACCAGTTAGGGCCATCTGCTCTTTTTAAAAGTATCCTGAATATACAATGTACATCTAAAAAATGATAGAGTTATTTGAGGATAGTCAGAACTGAGAGCCAACATGACTTATAGAAATGTATGGCTACATAGCAATAGGCCAGAGATAATCCCTACAAAAGGTCAAGGTATACTTCCCGATAGGGTATGATCCATTTAAATTCTTTTCTGATTTTCCTTTTTTCTTTCTTTATTATATGTTTATGTGTGTGTGTGTGTGTGTGTGTGTGTGTGTGTGTGTGTGTGTTTAATTGATTTCAGAGAGGAAGGGAGAGGGAAAGAGATAGAAACATCAATGATGAGAGAGAATCATTGATCAGCTGCCTCCTGCATGGCCCCTACTGGGGATCAAGCCCACAACCCTGGCATGTGCCCTTGACCAGAATCAAATCCAGGACCCTTCAGTACATAGGCCAATGGTCTATCCCCTGAGCCAAACCAGCTAGGGCATGATTTTCTTTAAATACTGCTCACCATTGTCCCTCAGAATTTCCTTTGTATACCCTCTACCCAACCCTTTACTAAAGACCTATAAACATATTCAAGATACACTGCATGCAAAAAGGGAAGTATCCTATATAATAAAACCTTAATATGCAAATTAACCAAACGGCTGAACGACTGGTCACTATGGTGTGCACCAACCACCAGGGGGCAGATGCTCAACGCAGGAGCTGCCCCCTGGTGGTCAGTGTGCTCCCACAGGGGGAGAGCCACTCAGCCAGAAGCCGGACTCACAGCTGGCGAGTGCAGTGGAGGTGGTGGGAGCTTCTCCCCCCTCCGCAGCTGCACTAAGGACCCCTCAGGGTCCCCGACTGCGAGAGGGTACAGGCAGGGCTGAGGGAAACACCCCCCGCCCCAGTGCATGAATGTCATGCACCAGGCCTCTAGTAAGAATAATAAAAGATTCTGATGTCCTGGACATGAACAGAGAACACACATATAATGGGTCCTGGCCATCAGAACAAACACATTGACGTGCGCAGCTAGAAACCAACCCCTCAAGAAAGAATATAGACTTTTAATCCAAAGAAGGAGAAAAGTTAGGCCTGTGACTTGACTACAGTTTCTAGGGCCTAGTGTAACTATATTTTTAGGCCTGGCTCCAAGGAGCTGCCTACACAAATTTGGATGGAGCGGGGGAGGCACAGATGGTGGTCATGTGAAGGCACAGACTGATCGAGTGGGCTCGGTTACAAAGTCGGTACATTTAGGCTGCTGTATTCCTCCTATTTCAAGTACTGCCAAGTCCAGGCTGTTTCCCCTCTTTCCAAAGTCTTGATTCATTTAATTCTCCTGAAGGAGGTGGAAGAGGAGGAGGACTGCACAAATCTGAGTGTTTTATGGTTTAGAGGAGACAGTCACCATCTTGGCTTCCTGTCAGATTTTAAATGTAACATTTTGCTAAGTGTAAAGCTGTGTGTCTGTTCCTTTTCTGTTGCCGTTATCAGAACTTCAATATTTGCAAAACAGAAACTCAAAATACTTCAAATCAAGCCCAAAGCAGTTTGTTATTCACATAACACAGTTCTTACACATATCAATACACAGTGAGTTCACAGAACAGGAATCTTTTCTTTGCTTCTTTCTTTTCTTTTCCTTTTGTTCCTTTTTTAACTTACAACTTTCATTTCTTTGGTCGTTTAAGAATGATTCAATTACACAATAGCAAAATCCATATATATATATAATATTCTGATTATTATCAAGCTTATTGCCATGTCAGTTCTTACTGGTTGCATTATTTAGAAAAAGCAAGCCCATCAGCTAAAGTATTTTGCTATTTGAAATACCCTGTGAATCTCTTGTAAAGCATAGAGCACCTTAGTAATGTGTAGAATTCTAACTTTTGAATATAAAATTCTGTAGTGTTTGCTATAAAACATTGTTAAAGGTATTCAGTGTGCGCTTCCAGTGGTGTTGAATTCTTAGGAATTAACATTAAAGCACTAGTTTCTCACTCTTTAAAGAACGGCCTACAACATTTCAGATTCTCAGTCATTTTCTTCTTTATATAGAACACTGTCAAAATCAAAATGTATTCAATTATTGAGATTTTTAGAATCAGGACACAAAGTATTTTTCAGGTCATCATCAGGATGCTTGGTGTTCTGTCCATGTAATTCTTGTGTGCGATCAAACATCTGCTCCAGAGTCTTATCCTCTAATCCCTCCAATGTGCCTTCTTGGCCTAAGCTAGTGTATAAGAAGGCCATTTTCAAATAGCAAGTCAATACATAAAAAGGTTTTAACATCTGTTAATCAGGTGTTTTATCTGGAGGACATAAAAGATTGTTATAATCCTCCAACTAATTGACTTAACGTTTTTCTTTTTATTTGGTTATTTTTTTTCAAATATATTTTTATTAATTTCAGAGAGGAAGGGAGAGAGAGAGATAGAAGCATCAATGATGAGAAAGAATCATGGATCGGTTGCCTCCTGTTCGCTCCCCACTGGGAATCTAGCCCGTAACCAGGCATGTACCCTGACTGGGAATCGAACTGTGACCTCCTGGTTCATAGGTCGATGCTCAACCATAGAGCCACACCTGCCAGGCTTATCAGAGTATTTACATTGTGTAGAAATCAACACTATTCTCACCATCAGTAGAAATATTCATCTATATTCCAAGGCAAACAGGAAAATGTTTTTCTTTTAGGGTAAAATTTTATAATTAGTAAAGTTTATAAGCAATGTGGAAAGGCAACTTGAACTCAATTATTATCTTGAATTTCAACAGAGCATAATAAGAGAAAAAGTTCTTGGTAACATTCATGGTGCATGAATTTGCATTCTGAGCTCCTTCCTTAAAACAGTGACATTGTTCCAAATTTAATAATAGCAATATTAAGAGAGAAAAGTCTCTCTACATAGGGAATTTGTGCTTTTTTATGTCAGTTACTTAAAAACAAAAACTACCCTCCAAGTCAATGTGCAAATGCTCAATCAAATAAGGCCTTCCAAACGGTTTAGCCTCTAGGTTTCACTGTGCATACAAATCAATAATAGGATTGCATATCAAATACAGTTTCGTGAATGAAACACATGGGCATTACCCAATCTTCCTCAAAAGTACTTAGCTGCCAAGAGAGACACTTCACAACCTATCACAAAAGTGCTATTTGTATAACCATTCCTGTTACAAATGCTCTTGTGTTTGTTTAAATGAGTATATTTAACCTGCGCTATTAATTAAAATTGTTTTCTCCCTTATAAAGCGCGGCTTTCAGGAGAAACCATCTTTAAGCCTCTTCTCTGTGAGAGTCACGTCTCCTAACACCGACTGTGCTGCCTAAGTTCAGCTAGGGCTTGTTAAATAGACTTCTGAGCATAATTATAATGAACAATTAGCTTGAAATTGGTTTTAATGATTTGTTTTAGATGATAGAATAGAAGCATAATGTGATTATTGTAAGCCTTCTACATCATTAAGAATACAACTACTACCAACTTTCAATTATGGAGACGCAGACAATCACCTGAAGCATTTAGTAAGTGATCTACTTACAGAGCCGAACACAGGCAGCTGGGGAGAAAAGGCTGCTGCCCCAGCCCAGGTGTTCATAATTATTGAGCCTTTTGCAAAAGTCTCTTTTCTATTCTGCTCCTTTAACTTGTTTCACGCCTCGAAGACATCTCTGCCATGGAAAATAGAGATGTCTGGCCGATCAGCTCTTTCCCCGGCCCCTGCCTTTCTCCAAGGCATAGTGAGGACGTCCAGGTGGGAGGAAGGAGGCCTGGAAAAGACTCTACAAAATTGAGCATGTGGGCCTGAAATGGCAATTCGCACCTCCAAACTAGACTAACAGGAAAGAAGATTATACAAGTAATGGATAAAATGAATATAAGGAATAAACTCCAGACTGTGAAGATAAATCTATGCTAGCCTTTCCCCATTCAGTGTCCTTTTACTGTCCCGACGTCAATTTGGATCTCATTTTTTTCATAAGAATTTGTAAAAAATACTATAGAAAACTTGAAGAAATGCTCTTTCATTTTCTGAAAAATATAAAAATATTCATTTAGAACCGTGAATACTAGTTATTGTCAGAGTTTTTACTCTCTCTTCTTTTTCTTTTGTTTCTCTTATAACCTCAGCTAGTCAGTGTGCTGTTTCTCTCTCCCACCTCTGAGCAAGAGTGTTAGACCTTTTGCTGCTGGCCTTCGGAAGTTGTGAGGGAGTACATCCTGTCACCCACATAAAAGACCTGGTACCTGTGCTTCCACATCACGAAGCAGGCCAATAGGCACACAAGGCCACACACCAAGTTAAGGATCATCTGGGTGAGTAAGAACACTTTGAAAGTGAAAGTGATGCTGGTACAGTCAGTCACATCCCGGTACACAAAGGTCCTGCTGAGTGGCTCGGAGGCGGGCACTTTGCAGTGGCAGGCGTCGAGCGTGGCCCCACAGGTAACCCGGTTGAGCCGTGTATAGTGGTGGGCAGCAAACGCTGCGGCCAGCACACAGACCATCAAGCCCAGGGCGCTCAGCAAAAAGTACAGTAGCTGCAAGAAAGCAGAAGAAAACCTTTCTGATTACAAAGTACATTGAATGGCTCCTGAGAAAGCTAATGAATAAAAGCCGTTGTTTTTTTTTTTCTTCTCTCCCAGGAAGTTCCCTGATGGAGGAGCTATCGCTCCTCAGAAACTAGTACCCAAGACACGGAAGTGGCTCCACATTTGTCAGTGAGCAATCCTTAAATGCTCATCATATTTTCATTTGTCATACAGATGTTGGGCGCTATCCATGAACGGAGCTGAGGATATTAGCTTGACTGTGGATGTTTGTGTGTGGATGTAGCAAGCAGCTTCGATGAATCCCAGACACAAGAGGCATCTCTAAACGGCATGCTGTGCTTGTTTTGACCTCAAGAACTGCTGATGTAACAATTGAAACAAGACAAGAAAGTAAAGAACAAATTTCTGCAATGTAAATTCTGTGTTGGCCAAAATTGGCAATAATTGGTGAACTAGCAACACAGGTTAACAGAAAAGATTATGTTTGATGCAGTAATTGCCAAACTGTGTCCAGGAATAGCAGGATCCCCAATAAGCAGTTGCTGGGAGAAAAAAAAAATATGGCAGGTGACTTGATGTCAGCTTTATCACCTACAAGTCTCATCCCAGATCCAACTATGTAGTTCCTGAGCATGAAAAAAAAGTCTAAACCTTCCCCCCGCCACCAAGGTTGAACATTGTCGACCTACATGTTAGCCTTGGAATGGAAACGTCAGGTTAAAGCTCTAACTCTGCTGCTAAAGAAACCTAGAATGTCTGAACAATTCAAACATTTAGCTTACACCTAAAGTATTTTGGTCAAAACTGTGAGTGCTCATTGACATGGCCACAATAGAAACCATTTTACAGAACAAGAAATGTTCTCGTGATTGATCTCATTAACTGGACACATTTCTCTAAATGGTCCTGTCTATCAAGGTTCTAAATAAGGAAAAGAGTCCCTAGCCTTTGGGACTAGTATATTCAACAGAGTGCAAGATTTATATTACTACTAGAGGCCCGGTGCACGGATTTGTCACCGGTGAGGTCCCTCAGCCTGGCCTGTGGGGATCGGGCTAAAACCAGCTCTCTGACATCCCGTGAGGGGTCCTGGATTGCAAGAGGGCAGTTCTTGGGTGACACACCCCAGAATCAGGCTCCCTCCTCTATAGTTCTGGGTGGGTCACCAGAGAACCGCAGCTCCCAAGTCACCACAGCTAGGCAGCTCCTGCATTGAGTGTTTGCCCCCTGGTGGTCATTGCACATCATAGGTCAAACCGTCAGACGGTCACTTAGGCTTTTATATATATAGACAAGAGGCCTGGTGCAAGAAATTCATGCATGGGAGGGTGTCCCTCAGCCCGGCCTGCACCCTCTCCAATCTGGGACCTATTGGGGGATCTCCAATCTGGGACCTATTGGGGGATGTCCGACTGCTGGTTTAGGCCTGATCCCACACGGGCCTAAACCTGCAATTGGACACCCCTCTCACAATCCAGGACTGCTGGCTCCTAACCGCTTATCTTCCTGCCTGCCTGCTTGCCCCTAACCACTTCTGCCTGCTCCCCTGCTGGCCTGATCACCCCCAACTGCTCTCCCCTTCTGGCCTGATTGCCCCCAACTGCCATGCCTTGCAGGCCTAGTCACCCCCAACTGCTCTCCCCTGCAGGCCTGATCTCACCCCCAACTGCCCTCCCCTGCCAGCCTGATGGCCTCCAACTGCCCTCACCTGCCGGCCTGGTTGCCCCTAACTGCCCTCCCCTGCAGGCTTGATCCCTCCTTCCCCCCACTGCCCTCCCCTGCTGGCCTGGTCATCCCCAACAGCCCTCCCCTGCCGGCCTGGTTGCCCCTAACTGCCCTCCCCTGCTGACCTGGTTGCCCCTAACTGCCCTCCCCTGCTGGCCTGGTTGCCCCTAACTGCCCTCCCTGCAGGCTTGGTCCCCCCCCCAACTGCCCTCCCCTGCCAGCCATCTTGTGGTGGCCATCTTGTGACAACTTTGTGCGATGCCACCTAGGCTTTTATTATATAGGATAGTTAAAAGTTGCTCCTTACAAGGAGCAGTTCCGGTGAATGTGAACTCCCCAAAGTAAACTTAGTTCCAATCATGTCTAGGTTCAGGATAAAGTAGCTCTGAAAAGATTATGCCCTCCCCCACCTCCAACTATATGTAATTCAAATAAAAACATATATCTATGATTATAAAATATGTGTACAAAAGTCCTTCAAATGAGTGATTTTTCCACACATTAACAATTTCAAACGTTTCTAAGTCTTAAAGACAGAATATTTAGCTCTGGCCAGTGTGGCTCAGTTGGTTGAACATCGTCCCATGTACCAAAAGGCTGCTGGTTTGATTCCCCAATCAAGGCACATGCCCAGGTTGTGGGATCTGTCCCCATTACGAGGCACGCAGGAAGCAGCCAATAGAAGTTTCTCTCTCACATCGATGTTTCTTTTTCTCTCCCCCCTCTCCCTTTCTCTCTCTCTAAAATCAATAAAAACATATTTTTTAAAAAATAGACTATTTAAAATGTTATTTTTACTCTGAGTGGTGTGTGTGTGTGTGTGTGTGTGTGTGTGTGTACATGCATGGATGCACATGTAGTTGCTGGTGCCCTAAGCATGTGTCTGCTGTGCCTGGCAGCTTGACTGTACATCTGGTTTGCCTTGATTGTACACTTGATTGTACACTTAACAGGAAGACAGTGGAACTGGTTAATACCATTTTGTCTTAAAATGGACAGCCAAGGATTGCATGAATTCGTTGGATCCTCTCATCAAAGCTATCTTAACCATGCACACTATTTCTAGTTTTCAAATCATTTGAAGGATTATCAAAAATAATCCATGTTTCTTCACCTGTGAAACAGTTTATTGAAACATCTTACATCTCAGGCATATAACAAGAGTAATTTATACTCAACACATTTATTCTCCCTTGGAGAAAGGGAGCCAGATAAATACAAAATGGCACCTCACAAAATTTAAGAAGGAAATAGTTAATTTGTGTTATTAAATGCCATTGCCTTGGTCCTATCCCCAAGATTTTCAGTGGCCATATTTCCTCCCATCCCTGGCACTCTTAGGCTAAAAAAGTGCAGGTTTATTTTGAGGGATCATTGGGGCAGAATATTTGAAATATTCTGGGTTGTTCTAGAATATTCAGGCTTGATGACTGACTTAAAATTCTTGGTGCCAAGAGCCAAATTAAATTATGCTGGCCATGTTGTGTGTGTGTGCATGCCCATTGTGGCTGCCTTTCCAATGCAGCCAACACAGTACAGCAGTACTTGGTGATGGCTAGGAGCATGGACCAGGGCACCAAACTGCCTGAGTTCAAACCCCGGTTCTCCCCTCACATTAAACAATCCCAGGTGTACCTCGGTTTCTTCCTTTGTAAACTTGGAATGATGATCATAATAACTTCACAGGATTATTATAAGGATCAAAAGAGCTGGTATCTGCAAAGGGCTTAGAACAGTGTCTGGTGCATAGTAGCACTATTTAAGTATTTGTGAAAGAAATAAACAAATTAGTAGAGATGTAAACAGCTGTCAGATCTCAGGACTCTTGGGCCATCAACTCTACTGGCTTTGTCTTATTCTCTGCGGTGTGGGAGGAACAGTGCAAACTGAGCTTATAGAAAGAATGTAAACATTTAAACACGGAGATTGCTCAGTTTTAATTGAGCATCTCAAATGTGCTCGCAGCCTGGGAGAGCACAAACCCTGGTCAGCGGTGCACACCTCACACATTGGAATTCTGCTTCTCCCACTCCGTGAAAGCATCCGGCCAAGTAAACAAACAGGAGTGAGCCACAGCATCAAGTTTCTTATCCATCTTAAAACATAAATGTATACTTGATCCCCCAAAGCCTGCGGGCTACATCTGCAGCGCTGTGGCATTTTTCCTTCGCGGCTTTAGCTCATCTGACAGCAACATGCTTCTGGGTTAGAATCTGTAGTTTAAAATCAAGTGGCTTGTTTTACCTACCCGGCAGGAATCAACTATCAATGAAAGTGTTTACGATGACCTCGGGAATGCGAGCAAATACCTTTTGCTAAAAGCCCCCTGCTGGGGACGCATTAGTCTGCGGGTGTGCGTCTGGCGCTGGGCAGCGGGCGGGATGGAGGCGCGGTGGCCCTGGGCGCTTATGTAACCCAGCCCCCTGCGCGGCTCCTCGCGCTGCTGCCTCTAATTGGTACCCGGCTGCAGCTTCAACGTTTGGGAACGACGTGAAGAGGGAGTTTGGGCTTCGTTTTAATTAGCTTCCCGGGTGGCAGGCATGGGAAGGCCCCTCTACAGCATGCTGCACAGGAGGCGGCAGCTGCAGCCCAGGGGCCTCCTGGATGAGGGCAGGAGGCAATTGCGCCTTAAACGCCCTTGTGGGAATGTGGCCCGCCGAGCTCCTGCAAGCACATGAATCAGACATGTTTCTGAAAATCCTCAAGGTGAGCCCCTAGAAAGCCGGCCACCAGGAACCGCAGGAGGCCCAGTCCACGAGGGAATGGCCTGCCAAGCCCAGGGGCCCGTGGGAGAAAGAAAGAACATGATGGTGGCATCCAGGGTGTGCCAAAGGGCCTCTGGAGAAGACTGTACCAGCTTGAGACGAAAAGACAAGCTCCGTGGCTATTGTATCTTTAAAAAAGTGTGTGTGTGTGTGTGTGTGTGTGTGTGTTTGCGGGTGTGCAGGCTACACCAAGGCACCGGGGTCTTCAATAGGAGGAAATACATTCTCAAAGCTAAGGCCTGGGTTTCAATGCGGGGGGCACTAAAATGTGGTTATGCCAGTGAGAAACACCACAGGAAAGATGTATGTCATTCCTTCCCCCATCCCCCACCAAATAGTGGGAGAAGCACAAGGGAATTCTGCTGTAACCTGTTGTGGCTTTGGAAAACCTTGAGATTGACTGAAGTTCGTTTTCTAACTGAAGATAAGATAGCAGGCATCTTAGAGAGCTGGCAGGAAGCATCACTAAAGGTCACCTGCAGGAGAAAAGGGCCTCAGTGTTTGTCAGTGTCTGTCACAGGTGGGGGAAAAAGACAGCTAATGAGAGGTTCCTAGTGGGGGATTCTCAGCCTGGCTGACATTGGCAGTGACATTTTTTTGCCCTTGCTCCTTATTTTACCTGCAGATGTTGAGAAGGCTTTGGAGGACTCTGTGAAGCTGATGCTTTTGCCTCTGCTGTTTCTAGGATCATCTGGGGAGGAATGAGGGCCTTTCACACACTATGATGAATCCAGGTTAGAGCATTTTTTACCTGGTGGATGAAGTCCCTGTAATTTAACAGGCCATTTCTTACGAGGCTGTCTGGCTTTTTGCTTTTTTTTTTTTTTTAAATCATCACCAAGCCTTGCCTTACAAAAAAATAAACATGGATTGATGCCTGCTTTATCTGGCCTTCTTTTAAGGAACACCTTCAGAAAAAGTAAAATTTCTAATTGTAGGCATATCCACCAAGATTTTTTTAAATAACATCCATTACATTTTTTAATTAAAAAAGTGATGTCTAACTGGAGGACATTTCAAAATTAGAGAAAAAACTACAAAAATGCAGCTATCACCCCACCACTCACAGACAACAATTTTTTTAAGCACATAAGAGCTCATTTCTTTCTGTAGGATCATGCTGTACATTTTGTGTGGCCTGTTTTTGCAGTTAATATGATGTGAACTTTTTTACTCAAATAACTACTCTTTTCAACATTATATATGTACATATATATCAACACACTGCTTTTTTTATGCCAACAGCACCAATTATACTAGAATATACTATCATCTTATTTTCTGCACCTTTGTAATTTCCACATAATATAGTTAACTTACTCTTATGCCTTATGCTTTCTTGTTTTAGTGAACAAAGGAGTATCCCGTTTTTATGTATTTTCTTGTAGAAGAAAAGTAAACGCGATGTGAGTGGACCAAAAAAATTACAGAAAGCTTTTTTGTGCTCTGCTATAGCAGTTGAAAGAAAATGTAGGGATTGGGTTTCTACTCACTCTGGTTGCTGAGTTGGGTGTTTATCTTCCTCAACTCTGAAAGGGTGTGTGTATGTTTCCCTTTAGAGTAGATTCGATGTGCAGTGGAAATGCCGGGTATTTGAACCGGCTCCAACCGAGCACACTGTCTCTAACAGAGAAAAACTACATGCGCATGTAAGACACACACATACTTGCTAAACCGTGCACATCCCAACTCCCTGTCTCCTTTGCCCCCAGACTCTTGGCACAGATCATTTGGATGCACCCAATGTACTTTTTCTGTTTTAGTGATTCTGCCTACAAGAGGAAATACACTTAGACGGCTTTGTTATTAAAACATTGGAAATAACCCCCAAGATATGGAAGTGGGCACTGATATGGGCATCTTTTCCCTGGCAAAAGTGTTTTGTGGAACTGGTGAATTTTCAATATTCCTTTTAAGGGCACTGAAAGACAGACTTCATATGCCAACCCAGTTCATGGAAATTACGACTTACAAAAAATTAGCATTACATTTGGAGTCTGGATCAATGCCCTCCTAAAACATTTTTTGGCCTGCCTAAAAATGCAATTTCTGGGATAATCAGATATGCAACCCCTTAAAAAGCACTCCTTTATTTTGTACTTGGGTTTCTTTCTATGTGACAATAAAAGGAAAAGAAAAATGACAACTTACTTTCATAACAAACTGGATACATGTCTGTTCGTCAACTTGATAGGAGACACAAAGCATAAACAAACCAAGATAGGCCACTAAGCAGACCTGCAATGGAAAACAGGGAGAAAGGATGTTATCAGGGCGAGCCGTGCATTCTAACAGCATCAATCGCAGTGTCTTCCACCAGAAACGTCCTTCTGAGCCAGGTGTGCATTTCATTTACTTATCTTTACTTGCTATTTTTCTCAGCTTGTGGAATTGAGTTTTTAAAATAGTAAAATCAGTTTAGCCAGGATTTATTAAGTCCTTTTGATGAGTCTGGTGCTATACAAAGTCCTTCAGAGTATCCAATGATGAATAAAAGTTCCTCAACCTCAGTAAGTGTCCAGTCCAATCCAGGCCAAGATAAGTGACACACTATTCTGGAGCAGGGCATTATATGTCAGATGCTTTTTGTCCAGAGATGGACAAAAAGAGGAAAAAATAACATTGAGTTGGGCAATTCGAAAAGGCGTCACTAAAGAGGTAGGTTTGAAATGGGCCTTGAAAGGGATGATCATAATCATGGTCACTAGCACTTACTGAATACTGACTTTGTGCTGGGTCTCTCCTAAGCGCTTTGTATGGGTTTCTTCACAGCATTATCACAATCCCCTCTTAACTAGGTGCTAATCGTCCTATCATAAACAAAGACACAGAAGCACAAAGCTAGTCAATAATGGAACCAGCACTTGAACCAGGTAGCTGGAGTGAAACAGCATGAGCAATAGTACAGAGGCGGGATCTCACAAATTATGCGGAAAGAACAGCCAATATGTACCCAAAGTTGAAATAACAAATATATAGAGCTCCCTGGAAAAAAATAAAAGACTAAAACATGGAACCATCACAAAAGGTAGGTTAAAAAATCTGGTGTTGTAAGATTAATTTAGTAAGCAGTGGGGCTCCCTTGAAAACTTTTGAGCAGGAGAATGACATGATTCAAGACATGTTTTAGGAAAATAAGCAGTGGTGTCATGTCAAGTGGGTTAGCAGTGAGAACATCAGGATATTATTTTACTAATCGAAGCAAGATTAATATGCCAGGTGGGCCAGGGCTCAGAGGGTGGCAGGCAAAGTCAGAGAAAGAGGTGGAAAGGAAAAATGTAGCAAAAGCAGAAGCTGTACATCTTGACTATCGCATGTCAGGGAGGACCCTGGAGAGGGAGAAACGGAGCGACTTCCAAGCTCTTGAGTGTCAGTGATGGAGAGAGAGGGGATGTGCCTGGATGGAAGATGGTTGGCAGGAGGAATGGCAATTTTGAGGAAAAAAAGATACTCAACTGGTTAGTCAAACCAGATTTTCTTGTTACTGGAGCTTTTGAAACTATATTTTAGAGTTTCTAATCAATGCATATCTCTTCACACTCAATTTTGGAAACCCTAAAATGTTGCTAAGTTCTACTTTAAGATGGAAAATGTAAGCAGCAGTACTGCATTTTCTGGTAAGTACAATTTTCCTAGAGACAGATGTTGGAAGGGTGACTGAGAGTCACCTAGCAAGTCATCAAATAACTAGTTCGGTGATATTCATAATTCCTGCCCTTAGGGCCTCCTCAAACCCTGGACCATTCCTGCTAGGGAGGCAGAGTTGTTGACTTACAAGCCAACATAGCATTTTAAGGTAACACCTCTATCCTATTCACCCTTTGATTACAAATTCATTAAGTTTCTTGTGCCCTCATGGGTTCCCAAGTTGAGAGCTGTTTGAGTTTCTACTGGGCCGTGAGGCCAAACGCCAAGCCTCTGTAGTAGAGGCATTTGCAAGGTTTTCCATCATTAGGACTAGCTGCATGGCTTAACAGCAGTAGATAACATGCCTAGTGGAGAGACTCATACTTAAAGTATGTGAGCATGGTATGGACTGGAGAAGTCCAGGTAGAAAGCAAAACAGACAGGACCACAGAGGCAGGTTTCCAGCAGCGGACTGGAAGATTTGGAAATTATGACTGAAGTTGTTTGCGTAGCCCACATCGTGGGTGATGCTTTCAAGCCAGGGATGAAGTTCTTTCTCAAAACTCATTTTAAACATATATCTAAATGAGGTATACGTTTGATAAGGACTGGAAAGGCCTACTATGTATTCTCACATTAAGAATTTACAGAACAGAAACAATGGGGAAAAGATCCCCTTTTGTTTATTAGCAACGAACAAGATGGAGGCTTCTAAACCCACTTCGACGGGGATTGTTAAATCCCTAAGCGCGAGCCTATGCTCCCTGTTAGTGTCTGTCTGTAGGTGCACATGGTCAGGCTCTCTCCCACATATCTGACTTTGTCCCTCGAGGCTGCTGTACGAAAGTTGGCAATTGTCAAGATTGCTTCTTTGTGTTTACGAGAGACACATTCCAATAATCAGTCTCACTGAGTAGCATCTTAGAAATCTGACTCTGTTCCTTGTTTGAACACATTTTCCCACTTCAGTAGGATCTACTTCATAGCCTTAACCTAGGCTGGTTTCCAGCAAGAGGTTGCACAGGAGCGTATGACCTCATTGCAGAGGACTTCACTTAATTGATAGACTGAAGTTTTTTTGAGGACGTGCAGTAGCCAGGCCCTGTGCACAGCTCTGGGACCTGAGGTGAAAAGACAGTCTCAGCCTTCGATGAGCTTTTCAGCCCCGTGGGAAAAGAGAGGAGAATAAAGTCACAATACTGTGTGAGTACTAGGACCCTGTTTGCTGGGATATACCGAAGGGGTGATTAACCCAAGGATAACTTGGGGAAGCTCCCAGGAGGAAGATGGGTTTTGAAGGATAAGAAGAAATTAGCTGGGAGAAGGAGGTGAGGAAGAGTAGAGGGAGTAGTTACAGATGCAAAAGCATGGAGAAACACAGAACAAACATGCAAAGACTCCGACAGCTCCAGTTCAGAGGATAAGAGAAGAGACAGCAAAAATGTGCTCACAGAGATGGACAGGAAGTAGGACACAAAGGACTGTTAGTTCATTTGAAGCAGAGAAAGGATATGATCAACTCTGACTTTTAAAATGGTCCTTCTGGCTGAGAAGAATGGATTGGGAGAAGAAGACCTGCTAAGAGGCTGTTCATCTCTGGAGAAATGATGAGTTCCTGAGCTCGGGTAGCAATGGGGATAGAGAGTGGGTGTGCTTGAGTGACAGGCAGGAAGCAGAATACATAGGCTCTAAGGACTGACTAGATGTGAGGGCTGAAGGACAGGGAGGGGTCAGGCGGGTGCTGGCTACCTGACTTGAGCTGCCACGTGGCTGGTGTTGAAATTTAGTAAGTCATGAGATACAAGCGGAGGAGCAGACTGGGAATGGGAAATGATGATGCCACATGGACTCAAAGCTCAGCCACATGGGTCCAGAACTGTGGACCCATGTGTGCTGGAGACAAGCATTTGTTAGTCATCAGCATTCGGAAAGCAGCAGAAATCATCAGAAATGCTGCACCATCCAGAGAGAGTCCAGTAAAAACAGAAAGGGCCAAGGGAGTTACCCAGTTATGGAGAACCTTTAACTCTTTTGAACAGAAAGCACCTCAAATACACTTCTTGTAATCATGGTTGTACATCATGACATGTCTAAATATTATGAAACTGATCATCCTTTTAGATTTTTATTTTATTATTTTTAAATATGTTATGTATCAATTTTAGAGATAGAGAGGGAGAGGGAGAGAAACATAGATTGAGAGAGAAACATAGATAGGTTGCCTCCCACACCTGTAACTGGGCATGTACCCTGACTAGGAATTGAACCAGCTGACCTTTAGGTACATGGGATGATGCTCAACCAACTGAGCCACACCAGCCAAGGCTCCTTTTGGATTTTTTAAAGTTTCACTTCTAGGTCTTTGTATATGATATTTGCTATAAAGTCTGATTAATTCAACATACTAGAATTTCTTGGCCTTCTGATAGGGCTCAATAGGATATAGGACAGTGATGGAGAACCTTTTGAGCTCGGCGTGTCAGCATTTTGAAAAACCGTAACTTAACTCTGGTGCCGTGTCACATATAGAAATTTTTTGATATTTGCAACCATAGTAAAACAAAGATTTATATTTTTGATATTTTATATATTTAAATTTCATTTAACAAAGAAAAATCAACCAAAAAAATGAGTTTGCATGTCACCTCTGACACGCGTGTCATAGGTTCGCCATCACTGATATAGGAGGTGGTATTTCATTTTCTTACCTACAGCTTTGCATGATAAAACATCACCTCTTTATTTATTAAATACTTAAAAATGAAGTCTTTATGGCCGTGAGGAGGAAACCAGATTTCTCGCGCCACACTGAGGGTCTTGTTTCCTGAGCTGGCAGGACGTGGGCGCACCAGGGAGACAGAGTGTTCTGGCTTCCCAGGCAGGGGAGGGGGAGCTCACGGTAATGAGCAGTGAGACCCGCCAGCCCTATCTGGAACAACATTCCTGGATTCTGGGCCAGGGCTTCCATTCGATATGGTGCGTGAGGCCCGTAGAACAGGAAAAAGGCAGTTATGTAAGGTTTTCAAGAAGGCATTTGTTGGGCCAGGCCTGGGGCAGACAGGTGGTGTCACTGATCGCAAAGCCATATACGAACTGGGTGACATCAGGAAAACCAGTGCTGAAGGAAGGGCCGCTAGCCTTTAAGAGCTTCCTGAGATTTAGTTCCTGACCAGATGGATAGTTATGTTGCTAAGAAAAGCTTGAAGTGCTTTTTAATAGAAAAGAGAAAATGACAATCACCATCATTTTCAACCCATTTTGGGATGCACGTTTCTACAATTTGTTTAGGGTGAAAAGAAGAACTAAGTCTTGAATTCTGCTTCCTGTCTAAAGATATTCTTTGTCTGCTCAGAGGGAAGACTGCATTCTCTCCTGCGAGTTAGAAAGTTAACAGGGCTGAAATGTTCTCTGAATGTTAAACCCATCGCTAGATGTCTGAGCCCTGAGTCTTGTCACACACCGGATCTTGTCTTTGTTTTTGTTATACAGCGGTGTCTTTTTGAAGGTTGGCACTATGAGCAAAAGGTGAATGCTGGACCACTGTGATGGAGATTTACCTACATATTATTTTTTCTTTCTCATTTTGGCCAAGCTAGAAGGTATCACCCTAA